GCTGAATGAATCAGAGAAGCATCGGCTCTTTTCGCGCTAGTTGTTCGCATGCACACATAAAGTTCGGCACTTGCCTGCCCCGGAGTGACAATCTTCATTGCGACAACCTGGAGTGAGGATGAGGAGAGCAGGAGCAGGAGCAGGAGCAGGAGCAGGAGCAGGAGCAGGAGCAGGAGCAGGAGCAGGAGCAGGAGCAGGAGCAGGAGCATGTAGACTACCTGCTCATCCACCGGAGGTAGCGACGCCCCGGTGCCGTGAGCAGACACTTGCATGAAACCTGGTCGTGATCGTCAGCCACCGTATCATCGGAAGAAGTTTGAAAGACCTCCAATCTGCTGCTCGCTGATAGAAGCTAAGTTCTGCATGCGATCCCTTGATCAGTTTTCGGGTCGTCTCATCGAGTCATCATGCTGAGGAGGAGGGAAAGAGGTTGGAAGGTGACGAAGAAAGAGAATGAAAGGGAGTGAGGAGAGGGGAGACGACGACGAAGACGAGGGAGCAGCAGCAGCAGCAGCAGCAGCAGCAGCGCAAACCTGCAAAGTCAGCCCATAGGGCTTGAGGGCTTCTAAGACCTGCAGAGCAAGGGACCTCAACAACAAGAGGAGGAGGAAGCACAGGATCGCTCTACCTGGCTGACCCTCGCTCCGGCCTGTACCGTTATCTGCTTCTTCTCCTTGTCTACAGCGAGCACCTTGTCCATCAGTGACATGTTGATCATCCCGTCGCCGTCCAGCCCGATGCCGTTGGGTGACAGCCCTGCTCCGATCACATGCAGCCGCGTCTTGTTCTTGTGCGCCTTCTTCACTAGCTCCTCCAGCTCCCCGAGGTCCTGCGGCTGGAAGAACCTCCTCGTCGTCACCGAGTGAGTCGCCGACCAGTTGGTCACGACCTGCTCGTCTCCCTCCTCCAGCAGCTTCGCGCGGTTGAGCTGCTTCTGCTTCTGCTCCTGGTCGTAGATGTAGAAGCAGAAGCCAAGGAAGGCCTGCAGCACCATCAAAATCTAACCTCCCTTCCCTCCCCTTCCCTCCCCTGTATTTCCTGTACTCTCCTTTCCTCCCCTCCGTCTCATCTCCTCTCCTCTCCTCTCCCCCCCCTCTCCTCTCCTCCTCGTTCTCCTCCTCGTCTCCTCCCTTCCTCCTCCTCCAGTACTCACCGCCGTAGGGACCCCGACGTACACCGATCTCATCGCGCGCTCGTTGCTGTTAAGGTTCTGGAACTCCTCGCTCTTCCCTCGGTAGTAGCTGTAAGGATCCTCTTTCTCCAAGACCTCATGTGCCTGTTGCATCTTTCGCGTCTCCCACACGCTCCTCCTCTGCTGCCCTTGCATGCTGCTGCACCACGTCCAGCCCTGCGCCCTGGGCATGAAGCTCGGCTGGGAGACTGCCTTGCAGAAGCGCCAGCATCGTTGCATGACGAAAGTTTTCATCCTCCTGCTCTCCCCGTCACTGAGGATATATCCATCCTAAGAAGCAGAACAACTTCATCCTCCCTACTTCCCGTGTCATCCATGATAGGAATCGAACTGTCTCACTGCGTGTTGGTCGTTGTTGATATCCTATCATCCCTAGATCCCAACATATTTCTTGTATCGTTCTTCTCATCTTCTCTCCTCCGCTCCTCCTCTCCCGTCCTGCTCTTCCCTCTCCACTTTCCTGTCAACTCTACAGCTCTTTTGCTTCTCTTCTCCCTCCTCTTCTCTCCTCTCCCTTCCCATCTTTGCTCATCTTTCGCTGCTCTGCTCTGCTCTGCTCTGATCATCCTCCCTTGAGTTTCTCCTTCCTGCTCCCCTCCTCCATTCCTCCTCCTCCCTCGCTTCCTGCCGCTCAGTGCATTTCTTCCCCTTTATTGACTGAAAAAGAAGGGCAAACCATTTCGTGCATTTCATCACAATATTTCGCGTTCTACCCACCCCCACCGCCCCCCTTCTCTACCCACTTATTTCCCGTTCACCACCCCCTACAAGTTTCCGGCCCCCCTTCTACACTTGATCCTTCCTACACTAACCCCCGTCCCCGTCCTCTCCGCTCTGCTCCGCTCTGCCCTGCCCTGCCCTGCCCTGCCCTGCCCTGCTCTCCTTTCAGCTCAGCCTCACTCACTCGGCATCATCATTACCAACATCCTTTCGTCTGTCCTCCCATTCCTCCTCCTCCTCCTCCTTCAAGCTGCCCATCCTCTCCTGTCATCAGCCTTTTACTTTCCGCGCACGCTTTTCCTCCGGGGTATAGCGAGCAGGGTGCGCGCTCGAGTTCTCTCCTCCTCCTTTCCTTCTCGCGCTCATCCTGTCATGCTCGTGTCGAGCATGTTTGACGGCCCGGTAGACATCATCGGGGACGTGCATGGAGAGATAGGCGCACTGCTGTCTGTGCTTGACGTGCTTGGCTACAACGGGCATGGCGAACATGCTGAGGGGAGGCGTCTCGTGTTCGTGGGAGACGTGGTGGATCGAGGACCGGACTCGGTCCGCTGCCTGCAGGTGGTGAGGGGGATGGTAGAGAGCGGGAGAGCGCAGATGGTTCTGGGCAATCACGAGCTGAACCTGCTCCGAGGGTCGAGGAAGCATGGAAACCTGTGGTTTTGGGGGGAGGAGGAGGTGATAAGGAAGGACAAGGCCAAGATCAGCTTCCAGACCCTTGCAGACGAGGCCTTCAGGGAGGAAGCGCTCTCGTTCCTACGGAAGTTGCCGTTGGTGCTGGAGCGAGAGGACTGTCGAGTCGTGCATGCTTGTTGGGACGATGAGTCCATCAGCAAGTTGCGCAGCTCCCCCGGAGACGTCATGGACGCGTACAGGAAGTTCCAAGAGGAGGTGAAGCACCGGGATAGTGAGCTTGCGGCGAGGAGGAGCGAGCAGGAGGGGATGGCGCGGGACATTGAGATCGAGCGGGAGCTCAACAGGCAGAACGGAAACCCGGTCCTTGTGACTTGCAGCGGCAAGGAGGAACGAGCGGCCGAGAGGTTCTTTGCCGGAGGGAAGTGGAGGGACGTCGACCGTAATCGATGGTGGAACAAGTACGAGGAGGAGAAGCTGGTGGTGTTCGGACACTACTGGCGCTCCTTCCCTCGCTCTCTTTCCCTCCCCCTGGAGATCCAAAACTTCAAGCCATCTGGTCCTGACATGTTTCCTGACGTCCCTGCCAACAAACTCCTGGGCCCGAGGCAGTCTGCGTGCTGCATCGACTACTCCGTCGGGTGAGGGAGGAAAGAGAGGGAGGGGGTGGGAGGGGGCGGAGGAGGAATCAATAGATGGAAGGGGGAGGGGGGACGGTGGGGGATGCAGAGGGACGGAGAAACGGGAGCCTTACATTGTTGCAAGGATTCGATATGAGGAGAGAGGTATGAGGCTTCATCCGGGAGGTGAGTAGCTGAGAGGATGTGGCCCTACAGAAGCAGACTGACTGACTTGACTCTTGCTCAGCCCTCGGCACCAAGTTGTGCGCTCTTCGCCTCCCGGAGAGACAGCTTGTCTTCGAGGACTCCAGCACCCTTCCGTTGGAAGCGACTTGATGCATGGCGGGTGAGCAGGACAGGGCATAAATGAGCTGACTGATCTCGGTCGTGACTTATATGATACAGTTTATGGTAACACTATCATCACCCCACTTACACTCTTGCTCTCACTCCGCCTGATGCGCTTCCTTCTAGTCCCATGGCGTGAGGAACACAGACGCCTCCCGGAAGATGCTTTCGGCTGTCCATGGAGAGTGGACCGGGAGAGGGCTGGGAGTCCTGGGCTCAAGAGAGGAGCACCTGGCCCTCTTCGATCCGTCCCACCGGTCGAAGCTGCTGCTACGAGAGAGAGAGACAGGACGAGACTCCGGCAGCTCCTCCGACTCCTCCAGCTCCTCATACAGCTCACGCGACGTGGCCAAGACCCTCGGCTGCGTTGGCGCTTGAGCTAGCGGTACCACCTCCTCCTCGGGCTCGGCCTTAACGCAGAAGTCGTGCATGAGCCACGCCTCGTCCGTGTAGAGCTGCTGCATGTGCTTGTCGTCCTCCTCACACTTGCTCTCATTCCGCCCATCGCTGCGATCCACTAGCCCGTGAACTGCACGCGAGCCCCCCTCCATCTCCTCCTCCTGCTGCTCCTGCTGCTCCACCTCCTGCTCCTCTGCTGATGGCAAAGCACCATGCAAGACCGGCCCTGGCCCATGCTCTGCCGCGCCCTGCCTGCCAACATCCGGCGTCGCGCTCTTGTACTCATCGAGCAGAGGCGAATCTTTGCCAGAGCGCTTCTTCTCCCAGCGCTCGGGGTCGAAGACCCACTCCATGGACCACATGAAGTCTGCCTTCTGCTGCTGCTCGGCTGAGGCATAGCGAGTGTTGACCTTAGGGCGTATGCCGAGGCTGTTGAGGAAGCGGTAGATGATCTGAGCATGGTTGGTGCCCTCGCTGCTGCTCCGGTTGGCATCCTTCCAGAAAGCGTTGGTCTTGACCATGTCGATCATGACGTCGTGGAAGTATGGCTGCGTCACTTGGATCTCGCTGAAGCCCAGCATGCAGTTATCATCTCTCCCTATCACAGTCACGAGGCCTGCGGATGCGAGGTTGCGCAGCAAAGCAGCGAGGGAGACCAAGCGCTGTCTTGGAGAGGGTCGGAGGTGGTGTAGGGGAGGAGCAGGAGGAGCAGGGAGGAAGGTATGAGCAGGGGGAAGAGCAGGGGGAAGAGCAGGGGGAAGAGCAGGGGTAGTGGAGGACCCTCTGGCAAGGAAATCTGTGGGTACGGCGGTGGAGGACATCACTGGGTGGAGTTGGGTGGTTTCAGGTGAGGGTCCGTAAATTCACTAGCTGGGTGGGGTATGGGGGTCCGTAAAACAGGACTCCGGGAAGGGGATAGGGGGGTGGGTGGTTATAGGTGACTAGGTGGGTGGGGTGGTCACAGGAAGCGTGGCAAGCGTGGCAAGGGAGAAGTGTTGTGAAGCTCAAGGCCCTGACCGATTGTTTATCGGCCCTGAGCAGGGGACGGTTAGAAACCGTTACATCCCGGTACAAAACCAATCTATATGTTTTTAACTCTGCAATCTTTAAAATCATTTATTGGGCTCGTCCTCTATTGAATCTATGGGTCTAGGGGGTAGGGTAGAATGAGCATCTTCCAAGGGTGGGTGAGAGCATTTTTGCCTTGAAGAGGGTAGGTAGTCTGCATGTACCCCTAAGGACCAACAGGGGGTACACAATGATCTACGCACCGGTGACAGACAGAAGCGTTCAGACTACCCCCTTGAGGGTGGTGGATGAGAGAAGGACGGTGGGGGTGTAGATCAAAGGTACGGTAGGGGTGGGGGAAGCGATGGGAGTAGTGATTGGGCTGGGGTAGACTTGTGGATAGGGTGCGTGAATCAATGGGGTAGACTGACATAGAGCCGAAGGGGTGGTGAAAGATATATTCATCACGGG